AAGTAGCTAAGGTGTATTTCTGGATGATAACTAGCTCAGGTGTAGTTCTGGAGAATAAGTAGCCAAGGTGTAGTTCTGGAGGGTAAGTAGTTCTGGAGGATAAGTAGCCAAGGTGTAGTTCTGGAGAATAAGTAGCTAAGGTGTAGTTCTGGTGATAAGTAGCCAATGTGTAGTTCTGTAGAATGAGTAGCTAAGGTGTAGTTCTGGAGGATAAGTAGCCAAGGTGTAGTTCTGGAGAATAAGTAGCCAAAGTGTAGTTCTGGAAGTTCTGGAGGATAAGTAGCTAAGGTGTAGTTCTAGATGATAACTAGCTCAGGTGTAGTTCTGGAGAATAAGTAGCCAAGGGGTAGTTCTGGAGGGTAAGTAGCTAAGGTGTAGTTCTGGAGGATAAGTAGCTAAGGTGTATTTCTGGATGATAACTAGCTCAGGTGTAGTTCTGGAGGATAAGTAGCTAAGGTGTAGTTCTAGATGATAACTAGCTCAGGTGTAGTTCTGGAGAATAAGTAGCCAAGGGGTAGTTCTGGAGGGTAAGTAGCTAAGGTGTAGTTCTGGTGATAAGTAGCCAATGTGAAGTTCTGTAGAATAAGTAGCTAAGGTGTAGTTCTGGAGGATAAGTTGCTAAGGTGTAGTTCTGGAGGATAAGTAGCTAAGGTGTAGTTCTTCTGGAGGATAAGTAGCTAAGGTGTAGTTCTGGTGATAAGTAGCCAATGTGAAGTTCTGTAGAATAAGTAGCTAAGGTGTAGTTCTGGAGGATAAGTAGCGAAGGTGTAGTTCTGGAGGATAAGTAGCCAAGGTGTAATTCTGGAGGGTAAGTAGCTAAGGTGTAGTTCTGGAGGATAAGTTCTGGAGAATAAGTAGCTAAGGTGTAGTTCTGGAGGATAAGTAACTAAGTTGTAGTTCTGGAGGATAACTAGCCAAGGCGTAGTTCTGGAGGATAAGTAGCTAAGGTGTAGTTCTTCTGGAGGATAAGTAGCTAAGGTGTAGTTCTGGTTGATAAGTAGCCAAGGTGTAGTTCTGGAGGATAAGTAGCCAATGTGTAGTTCTAGAGGATAAGTAGCCAAGGTGTAGTTCTGGAGGATAAGTAGCCAATGTGTAGTTCTAGAGGATAAGTAGCCAAGGTGTAGTTCTGGAGGATAAGTAGCCAATGTGTAGTTCTAGAGGATAAGTAGCCAAGGTGTAGTTCTGGAGGATAAGTAGCCAATGTGTAGTTCTAGAGGATAAGTAGCCAAGGTGTAGTTCTGGAGGATAAGTAGCCAATGTGTAGTTCTAGAGGATAAGTAGCTAAGGTGTAGTTCTGGAGGGTAAGTAGCCAAGGTGTAGTTCTGGAGAATAAGTAGCCAATGTGTAGTTCTGGAGGATAAGTAGCTAAGGTGTAGTTCTTCTGGAGGATAAGTAGCTAAGGTGTAGTTCTGGAGGATAAGTAGCCAAGGTGTAATTCTGGAGGGTAAGTAGCTAAGGTGTAGTTCTGGAGGATAAGTAGCTAAGGTGTAGTTCTGGATGATAACTAGCTCAGGTGTAGTTCTGGAGAATAAGTAGCCAAGGTGTAGTTCTGGAGGGTAAGTAGCTAAGGTGTAGTTCTGGAGTGTAAGTAGCTTAGGTGTAGTTCTGGAGGATAAGTAGCTAAGGTGTAGTTCTGTAGAATAAGTAGCTAAGGTGTAGTTCTGGTAATAAGTAGCCAAGATGTAGTTCTGGAGGATAAGTAGCCAATGTGTAGTTCTGGAGAATAAGTTGCTATGATGTAGTTCTGGAGTATAAGTAGCCAAGATGTAGTTCTGGAAGATAAGAAGCTAAAGTGATAAGTAGCTAAGGTGTAGTTCTTGAGGATAAGTAGCTAAGGTGTACTTTACGAGGATAAGTACCTAAGGTGTAGTTCTGGTGATAAGTAGCCAATGTGTAGTTCTGTAGAATAAGTAGCTAAGGTGTAGTTCTGGAGTGTAAGTAGCTTAGGCGTAGTTCTGGAGGATAAGTAGCTAAGTTGTAGTTCTGGAGTGTAAGTAGCTTAGGTGTGTAGTTCTGGAGGGTAAGTAGCTTAGGTGTAGTTCTGGAGGATAAGTAGCCAGTGTGTAGTTCTGGAGATTGAGTTGCTATGATGTAGTTCTGGAGTATAAGTAGCCAAGATGTAGTTCTGGAGGATAAGTAGCCAGTGTGTAGTTCTGGAGATTGAGTTGCTATGATGTAGTTCTGGAGTATAAGTAGCCAAGATGTAGTTCTGGAAGATAAGAAGCCAAGGTGTAGTTCTGGAGAATAAGTAGCATAAGTAGCTAAGGTGTAGTTCTGGAGAATAAGTAGCCAAAGTGTAGGGAGGGTAAGTAGCCAATGTGTAGGTCTGGAGAATAAGTAGCTAAGATGTAGTTCTGGAGGATAAGTAGCCAGTATGTAGTTCAGGAGGATAAGTAGCTAAGGTGTAGTGGAGGTTAAGTAGCTAAGGTGTAGTTCTGGATGACAACTAGCTCAGGTGTAGTTCTGGAGGATAAGTAGCCAAGGTGTAGTTCTGGAGGATAAGTAGCTAGGGTGTAGTTCTGGAGGATAAGTTGCTAAGGTGTAGTTCTGGAGGTTAAGTAGCTAAGGTGTAGTTCTGGAGGGTAAGTAGCCAAGGTGTAGTTCTGGAGAATAAGTAGCTAAGATGTAGTTCTGGAGGATAAGTAGCCAATGTGTAGTTCTGGAGATTAAGTTGCTATGATGTAGTTCTGGAGTATAAGTAGCCAAGATGTAGTTCTGGAAGATAAGAAGCTAAAGTGTAGTTATTCCGAAAAAATTACAGCTGATTTCAGACTTTTCCCCTCTTTTTTTTAAACAAATTCTAATGAAATTTTGAACCACAATTTAATACTAGCAGACCGTCCATATTTCGAAATACCTCAATCAAGAAAAGTTATTACATATTTAAAAAAAAGAGGATAACCAACGTGTGTTAATGCTTTACTTATAATGGAGCATACTAATGGCAAGACGACGCTGTGAGAAACAGGAGGTAACTTAAGTCAAAGCGTTGCTGTACAGTGAATCACGTAGTCCAGTTAGTGGATCGTTAATGCCTTGACGGGATGTTTCAAGTGAGGCTTCATTTATTTTACAGAATCCAAATTATCATTCATTAGTCAATACACAGCTTTATAATGTGGAAGTATTTAGGAGATAGATTCGTGTCACAGTCAGGTAGCATACCTCTTTAATCGTAGATCGATATCGTTAACAACCCCATATATTTGCATATACCGGTAAACCGTCAGCCACTGTATCCCTTTTGATGTTTTGTTTACATTTCAAGTATTTAAGCAAGACTTCATTGATAGGTAGGCTGTCATCCGCAAAACGTCACATTTCTGGGCTATGTATTCTAGGAATCTGTCCTCATACGTAACAGCGGAGCCACGAGTCAGCACTGCCATTCCTTGTCTGAAGTTTCGATGCAGCACATTCAGTGAGGTATCTGATACAGCAGATAGATGGTGTGTTAGCGTGACTGTGAAAACGCTGAGGCGTACTGCCACGGACGTATTCCAGCTTCGATATCGACGACACAGCTATCGGATGTTGATGAAGTATTCGGGTAGCGTCACTGGCTCAGGTCGTGGTCTAAATTGTGTGTTTGCAAAATATTGAATAAGAGAAACACAAGCTTAAAGTTTCAATTGACGCAGTTTATTATTGTCTTGGGAAAAAATGAATCAGTTGTGTTTGAAAAGATATTGCCTTTACTGAAAGACAGTATTCTAATGATAAAACTCGTGTTTCAAGATGTTTTGTGCATAGAAAAACATTATTAAGATTCATGTGGCGTATTCCGTTCGTTGAATGATTATTTTGACGAAAAAGTGGACCATATTGTGTTTAAAAATGCGTTGTTCATAAGGAAACCATAAGGAATGCAGCATTGTGAGAATCGGACGTTGGCCATTTTAGTAAAACAATTGGCTATTTTGCTTTTTGTTCAAAAATTTATTTAATGGGATACTCAACATTTATGTTTTGACTTTTGTGTTTCTATGGATATGACAAGTGGTAGATACTATATCTACAATAATAAATACCGATGGTAATTTGTTGAGAACGTGGAATTGAACAATTTAGTCAGATCTATTGTGCTTACTGAGATTAGATATATATATATATTATGATATCGGGAAATATATCAAGATTTGTTGTGCGATGAAAATAACAAGTGATATTTATTGCAATACATAATTAACAAATGAGATTTATTGAGCAGTCGGAGTACATAGCGAGATTTATTAAGTTATCAGAGTAACTAGCGGGTTTGATTGAGTTATCAGAGTAACTAGCGGGTTTAATGGAGGTATCAGAGTAGCTAGCGGGTTTAATTGAGTTATCAGAGTAACTAGCGGGTTTAATGGAGTTATCAGATTAACTAGTTATCAGATTAACTAGCGGGTTTGGTTGAGTTATCAGAGTAACTAGCGGGTTTAATTGAGTAATCAGACTAACTATTGAGTTTTATTATTGTAGCTCACTGTATGGTATTTGTTGTAAAACTCGACAAGCAAGCCTGTATGAAACTATCGGAGAAGGCAGTGTTATCTTTATGTATAATTGGAGTCAGCAGTGAGCTTTATTATAGTTCTGTTATAACAAGTTATTGAGCTATTAGACAAGAGGACATCAGTATTGAGCTGAAGACCTAGTTAATTAGCAAACGTCATCAGTATTGACAGCGTGTACTATAATAAGCGGATAGGTTTCCGGTGACAGTACGGTGAAGTGCGGATAAGATTTGGGATATTGGACAGTATTGGTCCTAACGTATTACTCCTGGAGAAGCACATCATATGCGTTTGAGGCATTAAATAGGAGCTTGTATTAATTCATGTCCGATGTTATGTAGATTCAACATCCCATTGTAAAATTGCCGTGTTTTGGTAATATCTATTTATAAAAGAAGTACGTGCAGTTTAATTCTTAAAAAAAACAAAAATCTTAAAACTCATTAAAATTTTGATCTATAAAAACACAAATTCTGAGTTTGTTTTGGTCACGTACTTTATAACTGACCAAACTTCTGGACAAAGATACCTGCTATTAGGGCGTGTTATACTGTCAACAAAACCTTTCTAGACTGTCTTCAAAACCGGAACCGGAAATGTCAGCCATTACGGCTTTGCACGTATCCGAAATAATACAGTCTACCACTGTAGCTTTCGTGAATGCTACTGGTTCAACAAACACTACTGATGTCGGGAAGGAGTTGTCCGTTCTACTTCCGGCGTTATGGAGTGTGCTCATCGTCATTGGAACGGTCGGAAACGGACTCGTCATTTACACCGTCGGAAAAAACGGCGAAATGACAGCGACGAACTGTTACGTGCTAAATTTGGCGGTGGCAGATTTGTTATTCCTGGTTATTGTCGTACCATTTACGACCATTGGATTCGCTACAAAAGACTGGATATTTGGAGACGCCATTTGTAAAATCTACGTCTATATGATCTATGTAAGTACAACTGTTTTTATTACATTTTCCTATAGGTTTAGCATTGTTATACCCATATTTGCTTTATTGTTTTCTTTTAAGGAAAATATTGGCGTTATAAAGGGTATGCCACTGACACAAGGGAGGTCAATTTAGGCATTATATCGAGAAAGATTTTAAAGAAACTGTTATGAAGTCATTTTAACTCATTGTAAATGAAAATAAAACCCGAAAAATTAAAAATGTATAAGGGTGAGATAAATTATATCTATGACTCATGGCAAGGTAAAAAGGTGACATACAATCGAAAAAGTGAAATATGAAAGGAACTTTAAACGCAATGTAGGAGAGAAGAATTTAGATTATCGTAAATCAACGTTTGGAAGGAGAGAAATTGATATTGGGTCTGAAAAGTCAATGAATCGAGGGAGGCTGATACAGGGATTATAATGTCAATGTATCGAAGGAGATTAATGTTGGGTCTGAAAAGTCAATGAATCGGGGGAGGCTGATACAGGGATTATAATGTCAATGTATCGAAGGAGATTGATGTTGGTTCTGAAAAGTCAATGAACCGGGGGAGGCTGATACAGGAATAATTATAATGTCAATGTATCGAGAGAAATTGATATTGGGTCTGAAAAGTCAATGAATCGGGGAAGGCTGATACAGGGATTATAATGTCAATGTATCGAAGGAGATTGATGTTGGGTCTGAAAAGTCAATGAATCGGGGGAGGCTGATACAGGAATAATTAAAATGTCAATGTATCGAAGGAGATTGAGGTTGGGTCTGAAAAGTCAATGAACCGGGGGAGGCTGTTACAGAATTAATTATAATGTCAATGTATCGAAAGAAATTGATGTTTGGTCTGAAAAGTAAATTTATCGAGGAGGCTAATACAGAGACTGAAAAGTCAATGAATCGAAGGAGGCTGATAGAGGGTTGGTAAAGTCAATGTATTGAGGAAGGCTGATACAGCGTCTGAAAAGTCATTGTAACGAGGGAGGCTGATACAGCGTCTGAAAAGTCATTGTAACGAGAAAGGCTGATACAGGGTCTGAAAAGTCATTGTATCGAGGGAGGCTGATACAGGGTCTGAAAAGTCATTGTTTCGAGGGAGGCTGATACAGGGTCTGAAAAGTCATTGTATCGAGGGAGGCTGAGACAGGGTCTGAAAAGTCATTTTATTACATACTTACTGATAAATACGGGTTTTCTGTATATGCGATACGACACAATTGCTCTAACCCATATCAGCCCTCGCCGTATCACACCCCAAAACCCGTATCAGCCCCGCCGGATCACACCCCAAAACCCGTATCAGCCCGCAAAACCCATATCACACCACTTTTGGATTTTTTTTCGTTTTTCAATATTCCAAAAAGAAAATTAAATCATAGGATAGCAGTTTTTATTAGTAAATATGTAATAAACAGATTAAAACACGCCTTTTTCCATATCACACCAAGTATCAACCCTCGACCAATATTGCAGTCTCGGGTTGATACTGGGTGTGATATGGAAAAAGGCATGTATTATTCTCTATGTATCGAGGGAGGCTGATACAGGGTCTGAAAAGTCATTGTACCGAGGGAGATTTAGGGATGAATTATCAAAGAAATATCAAGACTGTACTTCAGCTGATGTGGTATAATATCGAAGGGTCAGTTTTTTGTTGTTTTTTGTTAACCCTTTAACATCTAAGGTCATTAAGGTCATTAAGGTCATTAAGGTCATTAAAAGACACGCCTCCATGTGTGAAATGTATGCGTGCATGTGTGTATATTGCGGTATGTTGGTGTATGTTTCTCCTTGCGTTAGTGCGGATCCGATGACGACGTTAGAGTGCTTCATCATTAAAACATCAACCCGAAGGCACCCAGCAAAGCATCCCATCCTGTCTCGGGTTGAACAATTGTTGTCGTTTCCCTAAATGCTGAAAATGTTAAGCAGGGAATAATAACTACATCACTGTTAAGGACTTTGTGATGTCCCGTTCTGGGGACAGATCCCACTGTCTTTTATACTTTGGCGACCGTTCATCACTATGACAAGTAGAGAGGTATAGAAAACATCGAAAGAGATCCATACTGAAAAGGAAAATATATCGTCTGGAAGCTTATAAAGGACACTTATTGTAACATATCGAGTAAAAGGTATTAAATGGACTGTTAGGGCAATATATCGTGGGTGATATAAAAAGAAATAGAACCTATACATGTATTTAAAGATTACGTATTGCTCCTACCTAACGAGGTAATTGCATTGGGTTATTATCAGGGACGGTGCAACATCCCTCAGACCGACGGAGCTGTATTTACATTAGGATAATTGAGAGGCGTTCGCAGATCTTCTAGTTGAGTTGCGTTGGAGACGAAACAGATGTTACACCATCAACTTAGATAAATACATACATTGTGTAATAATATATATCAAGTGATCCAATGTCAATATTGACTGTTGATACAGAGTACCGTAATATTTCAAAAGTAACCCCGTGTCACAGTGTACCGTTATATATATAGTGACCCTGTGTCACAGAGTACCGTGTTATATATAGTGACCCCGTTTCACAGAGTACCGTAATATATATAGTTACCTCGTGTCACAGTGTACCGTTATATATATAGTGACCCCGTGTCACAGTGTACCGTAATATATATAGTGACCCCGTGTCACAGAGAACCGTTATATATATAGTGACTCCGTGTCACAGCGTACAGTAATATATATAGTGACCTCGTGTCACAGTGTACCGTTATATATATACTTACCTCGTGTCACAGTGTACCGCTATATATATAGTTACCTCGTTTCACAGTGTACCGTTATATGTATAGTTACCTCGTGTCACAGTGTACCGCTATATATATAGTTACCTCGTTTCACAGTGTACCGTTATATGTATAGTTACCTCGTGTCACAGTGTACCGTTCTATATATAGTTACCTCGTCTCACAGTGTACCGTTATATGTATAGTTACCTCGTGTCACAGTGTACCGTAATATAGATAGTGACCCCGTGTCACAGAGAATCGTTATATATATAGTGACTCCGTGTCCCAGCGTACAGTAATATATATAGTTACCTCGTGTCACAGTGTACCGTTATATATATAGTTACCTCGTGTTACAGTGTACCGTTATATATATAGTGACCCCGTGTCACAGTGTACC